AGAAGAATGTATATTCTTTTGTGTTTGGATGTCTGTTGAGAAATCCATAGTTGTTGAAAACTTCTGTTAGTTCTTTTGTTTCTTTGTTAAGTTTCTGACTGGTGGTCCTGTCTAGCCATGAGACTGGGGTGTTGAAGTCTCCCACTACAAGTATGTGAGTTTTTATTTGAGCTTTGAGTTTTAGTAGCATTTCTTTTACGAATGTGGGTGCCTTTGTATTTGGGGCATAGATGTTCAGAATTGAGACTCTGGGATGATGGATTTCTCTTGTGATGAATATGAAGTGACAGCCTTCATATCTTTTGATTGATTGTGGTTTGAAGTCTCACTTGTTAGATATCAGGATAGCCACACCTGCTTGCTTCTTGGTTCCATTTGATCAGAAGATCTTTTCCCAACCCTTTACCCTGAGGTAATTAATATCTGTCTTTGAAGCTTAGATGTGTTTCTTGTATGCAGCAGAACAATGAATTCTGTCTTCGTATCCATTCTGTTATCCTGTGTCTTTTTATAGGCGAGTTAAGACCATTAATGTTGAGGGAGAGTAAGGACCATTGAATATTAATACTTGTTCGTTTTAGATTTGTTGTTGGCAGTGTTATTGTGACTATATTTGCCCTGCTTTACCCTTGGGTTCTGGTTAAGTGGGATTATCTATTGCCTATGTTTTTGAGAGTAGTTAACTTCCTTGGGTTCTAATTTTTCTTCCAGAATGTTCTTTAGGGCTGGATTTGTAGATACATATTGTGAAAATCTGGCTTTGTCATTAAATATCTTTTTTCTCTGTCTATAGTGATTGAGATTTTTGTTGGTTATAGTAGCTTGGGCTGGCATCTGTGCACTTTTAGTACTTGTAGAACTTCCATCCAGGATCTTCTGGCCTTGAGAGTTTCCATGGAGAAGTCAGGTGTAATTTTGATAGGTCTGCCTTTATATGTTACCTGGCCTTTTTCCTTCACTGCTCTTAATATCCTTTCTTTATTCTGTATATTAGGTGTTTTGATTATTATGTGTCTGGGGTTCTTTTTTCTTTGGTCCAGTCTATTTGATCTTTACTATGCTTCTTTAACTTTCATGGGTATGTCCTTCTTCAGATTGGGGAAGATTTCTTAAATGATTTTGTTGAATATATTTTCTGTACCTTTGATCTGGGCTTCCTCACCTTCCTCTATGCCTATTATTAATAGTTTTGGCCTTTTCACAGTGTCCCACATTTCCTGGATGTTTGTGTTAAAGATTTGTTGGATTTAAGATTTTCTTTGGTCGATGAATCTATTTCTTCTAGTTTATCTTCAGTGCCTGAGATTCTCTCTTCCATCTCTTGTATTCTGTTGGTTATGCTTGTGTCTGTAGTGCCCGGTTTTTCTTTATGGTCTCTATTTTAGTTTTCAAGTCTTTAACAGTTTCCTACACCTGTTTTTTTTTTTTTTTTTTTTTCTTGGCTTTCCATTCTTTAAGAGATTTGTTCATTTCTTCCAATTTTTGTTTCTTTTTTCTTTCATTTCTTTAAGGGATTTTCTCACATCATCTTTGAAATCCATGGCCATACCACCCTGAACACGCCTGATCTTGGAAGCTAAATAGGGTGGGGCCTGGTTAGTACTTGTATGGGAGGCCTCTATCATTTTTATGAAGATAATTTTTAAGTTGTTTTCTTCTGGTGGTGTCATGCTTATCTTTCTATTGTTAAGTTTTTCTTGTATTACCATCTTTCCGTTGCTTCTTCCAGTGGGTGCAGGTGGGTCTCTCTCTCTCTATGGTTCTCCCCTCCCCCCCGTGGATTTGGGTGGGTTAGAAGTTCAATGCCAGTAGCTCTGGGTGGTCCAAGCTCTCTATGAGGTCTCTCCTTAGGCCCTCCAGCAGAGGCCCAGCGATAGAGGTCAAAGATCCAGCAGGCAGGGACTCAGGATGATCCTGTGGGGATAGGTGGATCTCTAGCCAGGAGCCAGGAACTCCATCTGTGGAGTGGGGATGGGGTTCAGAGATCAGGCAGGTGAGATTTGGAGCATCCACATTCTTATGTGAGCATCCCTAATTTCAGCTGAGCATCCATAGCCCCAGCTGAGCATCCATAGCCCATTTCATGTGTGAATCCATATCCCCAGCCCTAGCTGAGCATTCAGACAACATTCAGAAGCATATGTCATGCAGGTGCTGAACTCTTTGGGTGTGGAGCCCAGTTGAGACTTCTTGTAAGTCCAACCCCAGCTGCTATCTGATTAAAACTACAGCAAATATTCCAAGTGAGAGCTATCTCTCCTACACAGTACACAAAACCAGGAGAGATATTAGCTAATTATTCCAAACCCATGCATTTGAAATCATTCTGTTGTGCAGTGATATATACTTGCCTACCAGATTGCCAGTTACACAAAAACAATTAGGAAGAATAATTAAAGGTAAGGGTAACACAGGAGTTGGAAGTGAAATTTGTGGGAAGTAATAGAGCCCATTGAAAGCCAGAGAACAAATCAAAACATAGCAGTGAGAGGCCATTTAGCAGGGAGAGGCAGGGATAAACAGTCAAAAACAGCACCAGATCCTCACAATAACCAATACCAATTTTATCCCATCAGGCTCACGTATTCTTGGTAATACAGAGTTAGGAAGACAAATTACACTCTCATCAGCATATTATTTTGCAACCCTCTGAGTTAAAGAGTTGCTTTTAAGAAAGGTTTTTATTGTCAAGGATGAAATAGTGACATTGTGTTAGAATTTCAGCAGGTAAGTTTCTGTTTTCCATAAATTTATTAACAAAGAACACTTCTGTAACAGTCTCAACACTGATTGTGTTTCAGTACCTACTAGGACAATAGAAACACATTATCATATTATATTTTAATTTTATTTATAGTGTATGTGTGTGTGCATGCATGTATATCATGTCACATATGTGGAGGTCAAATAAATTTGGAAATCAGTCTCACTTTCTACTTTGTTGAAGCAAAGAGGTCTCTCTTGTTTCTGCTGTGCAGTCCAACTGGCCTGTGAGCTGGTAATTACTCTTCTGTAGAAGTGTTTGGATTACAGCTGTATATCACAGCTGGCTTTGTACATGGGTATAAAGGATCAAATTGGGGTCATCAGGCTTCTTACAAATGCTTTTCCCACTGAGCCATCTCCCCAGCACCATATTCCTTAATTCCCAAATTTATTACTGAAGAGACATTGGTGTATGGTAATGACTTTCTTTTCTAGACTCTGTCCCTAAAACAATAAACATAATGGAACTCATGCCTCCAACATGTCACTATCCATCAGTGAATTAGCAGGGAAGATGCCAAAACTGACATATACTGAACATAAACTACTTGTGAAAGGTAGTATTCCAGTTGGCTTTTCTCTTTCTTTCCTCCCTTCCTTCCTTCTTCCCTTCCTTCCCACACTGGCCTTGAACCTCCTGATACAACCTCCCATGTATGAGGTTACAAGCATGTACTACCACTCTCAGCCCTTTATTATCATTTTTAATTCCTTACAGCTGCCTTGTCTAGTAAACTTTGTCCTGTTTTTAGTTGAAGAAGCTATGCCTTGGGGAACTTGCAGAGACTCAAAATAGAGGATGGCTTCTGCTACATTATATAGTATCTATGTCCCACCATCCACTCTATCTGCATTTATGGAAACCTACTGCATAAAATGTGCCATCAACCAATTTACTTACTTTGACCACACCAAAATCCTTCATAATAATTTTAGGTCCCAGCAGAAGTGGAAACAGACCTCCCTGGAATCTTCCCTCCCACTTCCACACCAAGCCCTCTTGTCTCTTTCCAGCCCCTGTTTAATTTGGGGATTCCTGAGGACTTCTTAGAGTCTTTGTCATTTTTACAATGGCTGTTTCACTTTGACTTGGAGAAAACTATATTAAATCAGCGTTTGTATTCATGTACATTCCTTAAAGATCTCCCAAATAAGTTGATTCCCAATGAACTTACGATTTTAATTCATTTTACCCATTGCAGCTGCAAAAGAGAGTCACATTTTTAAATGTGCAATGACATATGGCTGTTCATTATTTATACATTCTGTAGCACACTATAAATTTTTCTTTGGACATATATCGAGGCACTGAAACCATTTTGGTTGCAAACACATAAATCATGCTTACAGTTATTAGTCTAAATGTAACACCACCAGGGTTCTAGATCAAAACCTTTAAAATCTATTGTAATTGATGTCTGCATGCATAACTTATGTCTGATTTTATTAAAGGTTCTCATTATTATTTTTATATATGGAGTATTATCATCCTAGCTCTGCTTCTCTATACAGAGTAATTATTTTGAGGCACAGGATTCAGAGAGGACATACAAGTGGGAAAAGGTGCCAGGGTCAGGGTGGGGAGGCTGGCAGGCTCTTTGTGAAATGTTTAAAAGAAAGGAGAAAATATGGGTGTCGTATTTCAGTGCGGTCTAACTAATTCATGCAATGATTTTGTTAATTTAGTTCCCAAATGCCTTTTCTTGTGTACCAATTGACATTCATTGGAGACAAATAAAACAGTGGCGGAGTTGTGTCAGCTAAATTATAAATTAGTGAAAGGGTAAGTGAGTAAGCTGCATTCCCAGGGCTGCCACTGGTCTAGGCTTTCCAAAGACCAGAAGCACTTAGATTGATCTATACATCACAGCTTCGAGATACCTCAGCGAAATGGGGACTGAAGATTGATGACACTTCCCAGGCTCATTAGAAAGCCTCAAGTTGATGAGCTGGGTCGCTTGGAAAGCATGACTGCAGAGTGCTGGCAGGATCACCCCAGGGGACAGGCTGTGTCAAAGTGGCAGAGAAGGCAAAAACAGAAGAGAACTTTCCATGGAGGAGAGACAACTCAAGGAAGGAAGCAGGATACAGTCTATAGGAAAGTGAGGTGAAGGAATTATGGGGACATAACTCTCATGACCCTGTAAACCACACTTTCTTCCCCCTCTGGGCCATCAATATCCTGGGGCCACAGTTGTAGAGCTTGTCAGAACTTTGTTTTCTCATCTTCACAGTAAGTCACAATGTCCACCTACCGGGAATTGCTACAGCTTAAAGTTTATACCAGGAAAGCCAGTTCTTGAGACGAGGACCATGGACTTCCCTACGCCAGCTGCAGCTTTCCGCTCCCCTCTGGCCGGGCAGTTATTCAAGATTGAAGGAGTGAAAGGTGTCTTCTTTGGACCAGATTTCATCACAGTTACAAAGGAGAATGAAGAATTAGACTGGAATTTACTGAAACCAGTTATTTTCGCAACAATTATGGACTTCTTTGCATCTGGCTTACCTCTGGTGACTGAGGAAACACCTCCAGGAGAAGCAGGTTCTGAAGAAGATGATGAAGTGGTAGCAATGATTAAAGAACTGTTGGATACTAGAATAAGGCCCACTGTGCAGGAGGATGGGGGTGACATGATCTACAGAGGCTTTGAAGATGGCATCATGTGGCTGAAGCTCCAGGGCTCCTGCACCAGCTGCCCCAGCTCCATCATCACCCTGAAAAGTGGCATTCAGAACATGTTGCAGTTTTATATTCCAGAAGTGGAAGGTGTAGAGCAGGTGATGGATGATGAATCAGATGAAAAAGAAGTAAATTCACCTTAAATAATCCAAATTTTCATTGGCTGAAACTTTTGGATTTGACTGTACAAAGACTTATTAATCTCTGCTATGGAAGGTGGTTAATAAAATGTTTCCTTCCTCCAGAATGATATAAATGTAAACAAAAATTAATGGAATAGATATTAAAGGTTTATTTTAATATATTAATTATATTAGTAATAGGTTTCACTATGAGATTCTCATCTAGGTATACAATGTATTTTTATCACATTAACCCTCCCTTACATATTATTGTTTCCCACTCATTTAATCTACTTCCTCTCCTAACTAGTCCCCTTTCTACTTTCCTCCTTTCTCCTCAGTGACTTTCCTTAAGAATGAAGAGTTACTTACAGGAGGATGGGTACCATACCAACAGGTATACCACAAATAAACTGTCTCTCCTTCTTTCTGCAACCATTACCTGCCAGTAGATTTTCAGGAAAGGGGTTATCATGAGCCCTTATCCCTTAGCAACTATTATTCTACAAAAGGCTCCAGCAAAGAGTAGAAATTCTCCACGAGCCCTTAGCCCTAACCCTTATATTTACTACTACCTGTTGGAATTATAAATCTTTGAAGCACTTTCTTTTGCAATGGATGAATATCAACCCATGATTATTAACCAAAGTTCATGGTTTACATGAGGACTGATGTTTGTGTTATACAGTTCTAAGGATATAGATAAATATATGGCAAGTACTAACAATTTCAGTATCTTCCAAGATGTTCTCATTGTGCTAAAACTCTCATGCACTCCACCTGTCTCCAGATCCCAAGCAGTGGTCTTTCCACTGTCATTATGGCTTTGCTTTGGTGGTGAAGTTTTGAGATAATCGGCACAGTGATCACTCAACATGCACAAGTACTAGGTTCAGGAGTTGTGGTACACACATGTAACCCTAGCACTTAGAAAGTAAAGAAAGAAGGATTATTTGAAATTTGAAGTCATCCTCATCATGTTTGGGGTAATTTTGAGTTACATGGTACCCTGTCTTTAAAAAAGATGATTTGAGGTAGTTCAGTGAAAAAAATCTACCAGTGTTTGGTCAATCGCTGAGCTATGAGCAAATAGTAGCACCACTCCATTCCGGTTAATGTGAGTTACAAACTGCATATTTAAAAGCCAAATTTCAGAAAATTGAATCAACAACCTGAGTGCCTGTAAAAGAAGTGACTGTATTAGGTGGTCTGTAACTATGTCCACAGATGCAGGTGACTCAAAGAGTTAGAATGTGGCCAGCTATCTTCCAAGACACTGACAACTAAGGGAGTTAATACAGGCTCTTCCCATTTCCTGAGAGCCTCCTGGAGGCCTTCTGTAGGGAAGAAATCAGAATGCCCAACTGCTGTATCTACAGATCTAGGTCCCCAGAGCAGGTATGCCTCATCACCAGAGCAGTCCCCAAAGTTCTCGCTGGATTGCATCTGAGACAGGGATATGGCTATTCTCTTTTGACCAGACACACATCCTGTTTCTGTGAGAGGAGTATCCACAGGAGGAGTGCAAGAAGTGATTTGACAGAGACATTCCTCACCTGCCTTCAAGACTAGGCGCTCGAGATGCATTAGTGTCCCTAACTCGTAGAAGCCAATGATCTCTATACTGCACAAAAACAGCTTTTCCAAGGTTTCTACTCATGCCAAAAGAGCTTGTCCATATAGACTGGAAATATAGGGTATCTGTCTCTGGAACATACCTTCAACTAGAGAGCTGTGGATAGTGATGGTTAATATCTCAGCCACCTGTATTCATAAGAGATGGATCAGAGGCCAGTCTCCCATTGCTTCTTCATCTTTATTTCCAGAGACATTCTCTACCCGTTCAGCCCACTCCACAATTGTCTTAGGTGCAACATTTTTAAGAGATACACCTAAGCCAGTAGAGCTGTGTGCAGACAGCTGGCAGAAGGTAACATGAGGTAGAAGCTGAAAATTTCATTTAGCTAACGAATGAAAATGCAATTTCCAACCATGATTACAACATTCTGAGCTGGCTTTGCCAGGTTGTTTGCTAAATATTAGATGTTGTACATGAATTATATCACTTAATTCTTATACAACTATCTGAGGTAGAAATTACTCAAATAACTGCAGAGGAGGGAATCATGGTTTAGAGAGAGAGATGTTAACTGATTTGTCTGACTCTCAACAGCTCACTAAGAAGATGGTCAGGAAGCAGTAAACTAGACAGTTCTAAATTTGTCTATTAACTGTAGTTCTCTGCTTCTTGATATAGCACAGGAATTTATATGGTGCATGCATTATGTACAAGTTTTTTTATTCTTAATATTTACTTTTGAGTGTATATGTTCAAATGCGCACAAATGTATCCAGGTGTGTGTGTGTGTGTGTGTGTGTGTGTGTGTGTGTGTGTGTAAGCAATAGGTCAATCTCATTAATTCTCCACCTTGCTTTTTGAAACATGATCTCCCTTTAGAACCTGATGCTGGCTGATTAGAATAGGACATAGCCCAGTGATCTGCCCACCTCCACATTCCCACCACCGGGATTACAAGCATGTGCCACCATATCAGGCTTTTCATGTGATACCAGGATTGGAGGCAGGTGCTCATGTTTGCACAGTGAGAAATTTTCTGGCTGCGTTATCTTCTCAGCCAAAATATACAAGGTTTTAAGGACACATCTTTATTTTTTATACAGGACCTAACAATTCAACACAGATTGATCTGAAATTTAAAACCCCCGTCCCCAGTACCCTTGCCTCCCAAATGCTGAGATGACAGTATAAACTACCACATGCAGCCTATATACATTATTTTTGTAAAGGTGCAATCATAATTCATATAAAATATAAAACGAGTATGAATACAGATTTTTATTTACCTTGGGAATTAATGAGGGAACCAGCAAGATGTTACAATAATGTTTGAGGTTTATTAAAAATCCTGTATTTTCATAAGCATTCATAGATGCTGAAACAAACATACAGATAGACTCCCAAACAGCAGCAAACATAGTCAGCATCCATAAGCCCAAAAAAAAGATAATTGCATCACACTATATACTAATCACTTGTCTACATTTTTCTTGGCCAAGTATGTAGACTGAATGTACTTAAGATTCTTAGAATAACACTGATCATGTAGAGGGTGACAAACTGAAGGGTAAGAGGGTGAATGCTGTAAGTTTAATAGGCATACCATCTGTAGCAACATTATTCAGTGCTGCCCCAGAGCAAAGAAGGAGCCAAAGACAATGTGTAGATTGACAGTCATGGATGCATTCCAAGATGAGCACAGAAGCAGGTGGCTAGCCTGTAAGCAGTTGACCAACATGCTTGGGATAGAATGCAGACCATGGGCAGTATAAAGACTGGCTGAAAACTTTTTCTAGGCCTGACACATTGAATTAATGCACAAAGTTATGAAATAGCTGTCATCAAATGAAGTTCAGGTATGTTGTTCACATATAATATTAATGAAAATAAAATTTACTTATAAACTGTCCCATGAGTCTCTGTAATTATTAACAGGGTATAGGAATCTCTGATAACATCTCCATTCCACTCACATATGGATGAAGAAACAGATCAAAGTTGAGGGAAGATATTTGGCCAAGGGCTGAGAATTTGACTCAGTTTGCCCACTTGCACAAAGCCCTGGGTTCCACTCCAGCACTGAATAAGTTGGGCTTGGAGGTGTACGCTTGTATTCCAACACTAATGAATTGAAAGGAGGAAGATCAGAATCTTGGGATCACTCCATCCCTCTTGGCTACATAAGAAATTGTAGGTCAGATTGCACAAGAGATCATACTCAAAATGAAAGAGAGAGAGAGAGAGAGAATAGAGAGAGAGAGATGTATTCAAGTCATACAGAACATGTTAGAGGTTACCTAAAATCCAAACAATTGTCCAATTGTCTAAGGATAGTTATTTGTTCATATCTAAGCAAATTTTTGTTTTTTTGTATGTATGTATGTGTATATATATATATATATATATATATACAACATTTACATTTATTTCTTGTGTATTATATCACCTATAAGCTCATTAAAGAAGACTCCTTAATAAAATGTTTAGCAACTTAGTCATTTGCTAAAACAAACATCACCTATCCTTATATAAACTTGGCAATTTAATACTATAAACACTTATTAATAAATTCCAGACTCATAAAAGAAGGAACACCATGTGATAGTCAGGGTAAAGTCCTGGCTTAAAGATTTCAGGCAGATAAGATGCCCCAGTGGGCACACACCTGCTGCCAAACCCAGTGAACTTCAGTCTGAGCTCAGGGATCCACATGGTGAAAAGAGAAAATAGACTGCAGCAAGTTATTCTCTGATGATACACACACGTACACATGGGTGTTCTCTCTCTCTCTCTCTCTCTTACACACACACACACACACACACACACACACACACACACACACACACACAGACTTCCCAGCAGACACACATTCCAAATGAACAGATAAGTAAATAAATAACTATTAATTGACCACATTCTCTGGTTAGAAGAGGACATTCACAATTGTTTAGTTACTTATAGTGTCATCAATGCTAGGAGCAGCTGAGCTCAGGGACAAGGGGAAGAAGATCACACACCCAGAGCAGAAGAGAATGTTTCTGAAGGAGCATTTGAATTGATATTAAAGGCTGAGTAGAAGTGTGTGGGAAAATACACATGTTTTGATGAATGAATGATTATGATTTGGGTCTTATAAAATAGTTAATAAAGATAATAAGGCAAGGTCCTTTTGTGTTATCTTTTGTCATTGTAAGAGATTATTCCAAGGGTTAAATTTGTGTGGGTGGGGTTTGTGAGCAGGGGTGGCTGGTGGATGTTCCATGCAAATGTCTGCACTCCAGCATCCCTTCATTCCTCTGAGTTCTTACCCCTGAGGTGAACTCTTTTCCCTTGGTTTCTGCAAAGCAGTTTGAGGGTTTCAGATAGAGCAGAATATTTTGTAAAGAAGTTTTGACCATCACTGAGAGAGGGAGATACCCTGATTCTTGAGCTTTGCAGAGATGCTAGGCATGATCCA